AAAGATGGAAACAGATGCATAAATTACTTCAAATTCAAAGTAGGCAAAGTTAAAATTGAAACTAAAATGATGGTATGCTTTAATTCTTGTTCTATGTGATGATTAGGACCAAATGGGTGTGTAGTGGTATTTTTCTGAAGAGAAAAAAAAAAAAGTAAATTCTATCCTCATTGTATTGCTGGAGACTCAAGGATGTGTCAAAATGCACTGTAAGCTTGATACATTGTCCTTAAATTAAAGGTGGCAAAGCCAAAGCACTTTTCCATAATCTGAATTTGAGGAATATCTGATAAAATTATTCTTTCTGTTCTTTTTGGGTTTTGTAATCATGCTTCACTTGTTCATAGTACTTTCCAGAAATAAAGTTAGAAAATTATTGTATTTCTTATGTGAAGTGTCAGTGAGGGCAAGATTTTTCCAAGAATTCTTTATATGAGATGCAAATAATAAACAGCCACATAAATCTTTTGTGCAGTCTACATCACAAAAAAATATATTTTCTTTCATGGGATTTGTAGCCCACATGGTTTCTGTCCTCTAGGTTTAGAAGTTCTCTGTGTGTTATAAGTTTCTTTATTTTTACAATGCATTTCTTGGCTAAATTTAAATTGGTGTTTCTAGGTCACTGTGACTAACCTGAAGTTTTAGGTGAGAACAAATTTCTTGTTAACTTTCAAATAAATTCAAATGCAAAAACCTCTTCTGTTAGATCAGATAGCTCTAACTATGTAACTCTATATAGCTCTAACTAAATAAATTTATTGTCTTAGCTTCTTTGTTTTTATAGGAGTAGTATGAACTCTGTTGGATTTTTTTTTTTTAGGATTTTTTTTTTCTCTAACATAAACACACTGTTTCTTTATAGGGCGCCAATGCCTCTGCTTTGGAGAAAGAGATTGGTCCCGAACAGTTCCCTGTGAATGAGCATTACTTTGGCTTGGTCAATGTAAGTAAATTTTCTCTAGTTGACATGCTGTTTTTTATTTCAAAACCTAATTTTAAATTTAACAGTATACTCTGTTAGAACTTTATCTGCGAGCACTTTAATTTTAAGTGGGACTCTGCATAGACACCACTTCCTGCAATATGGTGCTGTGCCTTGTTATTAACCAAGATATAAATGTCATCTTAAACACGGAAAAGCAAGTATGTTTATTGTAAAGTCTTTGAGAGAAACCTTCCTACTCAGGTACGTTTCTAATTATAGGATTTCAATATTTAGCTGGAAAAGACATTAATAAAGGGTGAACGTTGTTCATATGCTTTTCTGGAGAAGAGAGATTTGATTTTACACTGATGCTGCAGTGTATAGGAGCCTTGAGGTTTTAAAATGAAAATGTGTTACTTTTCAAAAAACATATTATTTGTGGGATTAGTGGAAGTTCTTCTATGTGAGGACATAGCCAGGAGATGAATGACATTGACTTGGTTGATAATTTTCTTACATGTAGTAATACTCCTTCTTTTATTTTTTGACAGCCGTGTATAACATTGAATCCTTCTAAAAAGGTTTATTTTTTGTATCTCTCAGCTTGTATAGATCTGACCTGACTGGGATCTGATGGGCAATAAGAATTGTCTACCTAAATTAACTAGGGAGAGAATGGAGCATTGGTGTTGATCTTGCTAGTGCTTCTGGAGGAGAAAGGCAGTTGCACCTGTGATATCTTTTACCAATGAATATAGGAAGTTAGTTAATAGAAACAGTGGTTCTGTGGCGTATTTATGATGTGCAAATAAAATTTTGGCAGAACTGACTAGAAACGTAAGTATACTTATGTTTGCTGGTCATCTAGGTACGTTTTGTTGAAAACTGAAAGATGATCTATCTTTTGACACACCAAATAAGGTTAACATAGCTACTAAAGTATTATTTGCTGCAGCTCATTACAAACTCACTTAATTGACTGCTGTGTGGGTTTCTAGCAGTTTGTGTTCTCAGACACCAAACTATCTAAACACATTGAGTTATATTCCTCAAGTATGGTGTTAATGGCCATTCCAAAGCTGCTGAGGGTTGCACCATAATGAGAAAAATGGAAGGCATCTCCAATTGTGATATAAATAGCAGAGCAATGAATAGTGTGAAGAGGAAAAATAGCATTCTAAAAATAACCAGAATTATTATAACCACATCCATTCCCTGTTTTGAAGGACAAAATATGACTAATACTGTTGTGCTTTATTCCTTGCAACCAATTGCTTTGAGATGGTCATTCTCATGCTGTTGTTCTGCAGAGCTTTTTCCTAAGTTATTTCTAGTTCTTTCATGATCTGAAGTTAATTGGAGCACTTTAAAGAAGGCAGTTTCATGACTTCAGCGTCAATACTAGTAAATGTCTGGTTGCACTGCAAATAGAATCAGGGGTTGAACCTGTGGACGATAGAGGCTTTAAAATTTTTTTTAATAGTTATTTTCAGTTTGGATCAGTGAGCTGAACCAGCTTGCCTGTGGCCAAACTATTCCTAAAACCACCGCAGAGTATATGAGAAGGGTCTGACCGCTCCTTCTGACAGCCTGGTAAAATAGATTATGTGTAATGTTGAACTGAAGTGCCAGAGGGATGGAACAATGTTTTTGTTCTAGAATTTCATCTCAGTTTTCTTTTTAAAAAGCTTCTCTCTTAAAATAAGCCTTCAAACTTTATTTTTACATTGGAAGTGTAAAATTTTGCAAGTTCTTAGGAAGTTAGGTAATGTTGACTCTAAATGCAATCAGTTTTAAGCAAAAAGCCCCTATATTTTGGCATCTTTTAAAAATATTTATTTATACCGCAGAAACTATGACAAAAATATTTTAAAACCTACGTGTTTGTACCTGTTTTTCCTTTGTGTTTTAGGTCACATTAGACTTTATACAATATTTGTGTATTTGATCTGTGCATGTCGCTCCAGGTTTGGAAATATTCCCATTGAGAACTGTCTTGCCAACCTGGGTTTTGGGTTCTGTCAAAGACAAATGGTTAGAGCCCTCTTCTTTTTCAGAAGAATTTCTAGCAAAGTTAAGGTCATGATTGGAAAGATCTGACTACTTTGTACTTCTAAATGCAAACTGATTGCGGTTTAAAAGTGTGACGCTGCTATGCGATGCTGTTTATTTGTGAAGAACTGTCTCTATTACAGGGAAAGATAGATCAAGAATTGAGATATTCAGAAGTTTCCCGAGGACCTGAATTGCTCAAAGGATTTTGTTCTAATATGAAAAAAAGTCAGAATTGCTGAAATAAAATGTATCACGTGGTCTTTTTGTAAAGTACTTGGTATGCAGTGAAACATCTAAAATGTTAACATGCAAGATACTGGTTTCAGGAATAAGAGTTCTTCCATGATATTTTATGTAAAGGTGGTAGCAGGCAAAGAGAGTTGAAAGGACGTTTTTAAAACCTCAGGCGTGCCATAGAGTTAATTTTTTTACCATACCATTTTGACTACTGCAAAACATCTTGCATCTCACTGTCGTGAATTTTTAAAGCTATTTGGATGGAATTTTAATTCTTTAACTCCTTTAACTCTCCCATTTAGTTTGGTTCTAATAATTTCCCTCTGTGTGAGTAGCATCAAAGCAGGACATGTATAACCAGTTGACTTCATGCTTTTTTACATGATTTCTCAATGAATACACTCTCGAAATCTCATTAATTACTTTGTCAACTTTTTTGACTATTGATCCACCATGACCGTCCATTGTTTTATTATGGCTAATTTGTAGTTTCTTGGGTCTCTTAATTTTCTGGGATTATTATAGACAGCTATATTAGATGTCTTATCTGAAAACAATAATATTTAATCAGACTTTTGGTAGTTCTCTCGCCTGTTTTGTCTTGTATGCAAATTTAGTTAGCATGATGCTTATTTATTTTCTTAGGTCACTAACAAGCGTATGCGTTAGGTTCTGTCCTAGTTCACGTGTTTGTTCAGCTTGCATATTTGTTTTCCTCATGTCAACAAATTTTAACTGTTGTTCTGTGTTGTTTGCGTATGGTATAAATTAATGTTCAAGTAACTGCTATGCTGTGACCTTTTTATCTGTGTGAATTAAACTGTTAATTTTCTGTTTCAGTCATCAAACTGATTGTTAACTTGAAATCATTCTGCTACAGTGATCACACCAAATTTTGGTGAACAGTAGTTGCCATATTCTCCAAGTACCACTTAACAAAATATTCTACGTTCTGTATTCAGATTTGTATGCTCATTTTGTTTATTTGAAATATTTTGCTCTCAATGCTCTTGAGATGCAGAATCTCCTTACTGGAATATCTGAGCACTGGCAAACCCAGAATTTGTTTCAATTTTTGAAGCAACAACATTGTACAATACAGTTGCACAATAAATTGAAAAAAAACAACTCAAAAAACCATGATGTATTTCTCATGGATGATATGCTAATATCTCAGCGGTCTGAGTGTTTCTTCTTTTTAAGCAATGTGGAACACTGCCTCTGGAATTTGTTATCGCTGTCCTCCTTTCTCTAAAATGACACTGCCTTCAGATACGGCAGATGTAAAACAGCTGCTCTTTGAATTTGCCTGCATCATGTACTTCTCATAATATTTCATTATAAGCAGGAAATATTTAACAGACACCGTGCTAACTATCTCTAAAAAGTACTTTGTGTATCTGACACAGGCGAATCTAATATGAATTCATGCATTGAGCTCTTGTTACTATAAGGCAGTTGAGATGTAGTGATGCTGACGGATGCTGTCTCTTCCTTTTTCTGACTTCGTGTCCCTCTGTTCTGCTGGATCACTGGCACTCCTCCGCATCACTATCAGCAGGATCTCCCCTATCAGGCTTAGTAGCATGCTGCGTCTCCAGAAGTTTTGATTTTGTGATGATCCCTCAATGAGATTTTTTCTTTTTTGTCAGTGGTTTGCTGCTTTTTTGGTGTCTGTGACTGTTGTCTTCTCTTCCTTTCTTTGCTGTGACCAGCTGTGATGATACAAGGATGAGTCTTTTACACCACGCCTACTAGTATTTCCCCAATAAATGAACTCTGACAGACGACTTTTCCATTTTCAGTATGTGACGTTCTTAATGAGCAACCTCTTTCTGTTATTGCTTTTTAACAGACCTAATATGAAAACATTTGTTTTCCTTTTGTTCTGTTTTAACCAGTTCGGCAATACCTGCTACTGCAACTCAGTCTTACAGGCACTTTATTTTTGTCGTCCATTTCGGGAAAAAGTTTTGGCGTACAAAGTGCAGCCTCGAAAGAAGGAAAGCCTCCTGACATGCCTCTCTGATCTCTTCAACAGTATTGCTACGCAAAAGAAGAAGGTGGGAGTCATCCCACCCAAGAAATTTATTTCCCGATTGAGGAAAGAAAATGGTAAATGAATAAATGAAATTTTTATGCAGATTTAAGCATTGGAGATTTAAGCGTAGAAAACATAAACACAATTTCCATTTTAAGTGAGTCCAAATTGTCAAGTTTTAACAGATATCTGGAAGATCTTTGAAATTCTATTTGTGGTGTGAATTTCACCACTTCTGTAGCATAGGAAGAGATTATATCACAACTGTGCTGGGTCGTAAGAGGATTATCTAGATCTCTTTGTTTCTGTACTTGCTTAGACCAAGTACACAGCATGCATACCAGTCTCTGTGCTCTGGTTATTTCACGTTGGCATCATGTTCTGTAGAGGTGTGCTGCAAGTCGGCACACTTTGGGTCGTTGCTAGAAATTGTTGCGGGCTAAACAGACCTTACGGAGCTGGTCAAAGTTGAGCTCGCTAAGGAGATTTAACCACCCTTAGCCTGCTTTCTTACATTTGCAGCGGGGTAGATTCCTCATAATGAGAACTAGTGGTTATTTCCTAGGGCTACTTTGTGAGGAAGAGTTCTGTACGTTGATTTATCATCTCTGCTTGAACTTGAAAAGATAACAAACTTATAGTAGGGGATTTTTGCCCCTTGATGCTGGACTCAATGAACTAAGGCCGAAGGCAACACATCTGAATTTCTTTATTTCTCTCCCTCCCCAAAGGAAAAAAAAAAACAACAAAAAAAATTCCCTAAAAACCAATATGGTTTTCATCAGTTCCAAGAAATGCCCAAACTAACTTTCCTTTATGTTATTTCTCAGCTGTCTGTTTCTTGCAACCTGAGGAGTAGGTGAGGGTAACCTAACATCTGTTGCGAGAACAACAAAGTACAATTCTTCAAAGACTCTTAACAGTGTAACCCACAATTGTATAATAGGGTAGAGAAGGGGGAAGGGCACGCGCTGATTACTAAAAGCATAGTAACTTGATATTATGACGTACCTGTATTTTTTCATTCTCCTTGATCTCTTCCTTTCCAGAATTATTTGATAATTATATGCAGCAGGATGCACATGAATTCCTAAACTACCTACTTAACACTATTGCTGACTTACTGCAAGAAGAGAAAAAGCAGGAGAAGCAGAATGGCAAACTGCAGAATGGCAGCATTGAGAGCGAAGAAGGAGACAAGACTGATCTGACGTGGGTCCATGAAATCTTCCAAGGAACACTAACCAATGAAACCAGATGTCTTAACTGTGAGGCTGTACGTTTAAAACAAAACAAAACCTCTTAGATTTTTCACAGGTTCTGGAACATTTTCCCTAATACTAAGCGCACTTTTTCATTCATTAGGATAGATGAAATTGCACTCTCTCTATTAAAATATGGAGCATAGCCTATTTTATGACTGTATCACCTCTATGTTCAAACCAATACTCATTAAGGTATGTTTCTCAGAAAAAGCATAGTGTTTTTTCTGTTCCTCCTCCCTGTTTCCATCGAGGCAGTCTGCACCTGGCTGATATGAGCTGCCTTTTTGTCTTTGTGTTATTTCCTGTGTCAGTGATTGATAGTTTATGTTGTGTTTCTACATGAGAGTTGCTCACTATTTATATAACTCTGGGATTAACTGAATTTCTTAAACCGGAAGTCTGTACCTCTTGGTGCTGGTTCATAGCCACTCTATATGAAAGCAAAAGAAACACCACAAAGTCTAGAATTAGAAGAACCGCATCACCTTCAGACCAGGAATTTGTAGTTAGCTATGTGCTAAGTCTGATTCAATATTTCTAAAAAACGAAAGCCCAGATGGGGAGAGAAAAAAACCAGGAGTGATTACAACTGAAATGACTGTTCTTGGCATTTTAAATCTAAAATTATGGCTATATGGTGAATAGAAGCTTGAAAAATGGCATTAATAAGACTCTGTCTGAAGAATTTTGAAATGAAATGTGACTGTTCCACAAATGGAAAGATGGTTTTCCTACTGCTAACCCATTTAATTGAAAACCCATCTGCTTGTTTCTGCGTTTCCTATAAGTATTTACTGTTAAGCTCTGAAATGCAGCAGAAAGCTGTATCAGTCTACAAAGCAGAATGGAATACACTTAAAGCTTCTCTGTCTCTGAGACCTCTGAGTGGTTAAAAACTTGGTTTTGCCATTGAAGTAAGCAGATGTGTCTTAAGGGGAAGACATGTTTTGCAAGAAAGGTTTTTGGGTTTGTTTTTTGTTTTGTTTTGTTTTTTCCTGGGTTTTGGGTTTGGGTTTTTTTATTTTAATATTTACCTCTGGATTGTAACAACACATCAGTTTATTTCTTCAGTTTTAGTTTACCTCAAGAAAGGGCTTTTGTGTGTGTGTATATTTATTTTTTTATCATGAAGCTCTCTACTTGCAACGAGGACATTGCTCCATTCCAGAAATGGTTAAAAGAAATCTGCCAGCTCTAAACTGTTATGAAATATTTCTTCTTATTTTTTTCAAGGTTAGTAGCAAAGATGAGGACTTTCTGGATCTATCGGTTGATGTGGAACAAAATACATCAATTACACACTGTCTAAGGTAAATGAAAATATTGGTGAATGGAAAAAAATACCTGCCCTTAGTCAGAAGGAAAGAGCCTAGCTTAGCTGCGCTGTTGTGCAACAGTTGTAGGCTTTGACTTATGGTAAAATATGTTCTGCTCAGAGTGCTATTCGCTTTATCTTTATTGTGGATTTTTGAAGCTGCTGGTTTCTTTATGGTTTTTAGTAGTTAATGAGTATGATTTCTTAGTGATATGCAAGATTGATTTTTCATTTTCTTTTATGGGGATTTTAATTTGTTACATCATATAGACAGATTTTACCAAGACTAAATACGATGTGTTTGGTTTCATAATAAATTCTTGTTTATTTTGATATTGTTACTGCATTTCAATTGTCTGGACGTGATGTTTGCGGTCATATTTTGATTTTTTTTTTTTTGCTGATAGAAATTTGCTCCATGCATTTGACTGCTGGATCCAAGGCTTATCAGCTGCCAGGATACTGCAAGTTGCGTGTAGCACCTGGCTTTTTAATAGCAGATAACAGATGTATAATTGCTAGGAGCTGAAAGATAATCCAGACTTTGTCTAGTCAGCGGCTAGTGGCTGTAGATCTTAACATTTAATATCTGCCACCAAAGAAAACATGGAGTGGCTACCTCTGGAAACAAAACACAATCACCTTATTGCTGTTAACTATTCTGTTTGACTCCTGCCCAGAAAGTATGCAATTAATACCTGAGGGCGTAATTTCCAGATTTTTCTAGCTGAACGTTGATACTACATCCCGAGACTGGGACAAATCACCTAAAATGTGTTTGGGAGGTATGAGCGATACGAATAAGAGGAATTTAATCTTTTATGTGTTGTTTGGGTTTTTTCAGCGTTAGTAGCAGTAATTTTTAACTGGATGGTCTGACTAAATATCCCTGCTTATCTGACTTTGCTTTCATTTCCACAGAGGATTTAGTAATACTGAAACTCTATGCAGTGAATATAAATACTATTGTGAGCAGTGCCGCAGTAAACAGGAAGCACAGAAGAGGTAAGGGTCAAATATTCAGGCTAATGTAAATGTTCTCTTCAAACGGGCGGCTGTTGGAAAAATATACCTTGTGAATTCAGGAGAAAGAAAATGTAAGACTGTTCAGGTCTGTTGTTGGTGGGGAGGGGAGTAAGGAGAAGGGGAGAGACCAAGTAACTTTGTGGCAACGTTATCAGAGAGAAATGAAGAGATTAATTTTGTATTCCTCCCAGAAGAGCTTCTATCTGGTGCGTCCAGACATTCCCATTTTCCCCAGTTAGCATTAATCAGCTTAAAGCTACTGAAAACCATCCCATCTGCTTTGACTATGAATACTATATACAAAAATCTTATTTCTCACCTCATACTTGGTCACAGCCGGAGCAGCAAGACAGATTTATTCCATCTCTTTCTTTCCACTGATGTGATGAGAAATTGATGTTTTCATCCTAGGCAGTTGTCCTGCATTCAGATGTCACTTTTGCAGGTAGTCTTTCAGAATAAATATTGCCTATTCTCACTGGAATGAGAAATGCAGCCTTTTGAAAATCTTCATCAACATTTTAGATGCCTTTTAAGAAGCTGCTTCTTACTGAAACTGTTCTTAAACAAAGCTTTGTTTTCGGTGATCTGCTAATAACTCATTCTTTTTTTAACATATTTTTGTGCTTCAGAATGAGAGTGAAAAAGTTGCCCATGATTCTAGCTCTGCACTTAAAAAGGTTCAAATACATGGACCAGCTGCATCGATACACCAAACTCTCCTACCGTGTAGTCTTTCCCTTGGAGCTCCGGCTCTTTAACACTTCAGGAGATGCTACGAATCCTGACAGAATGTATGACCTTGTGGCTGTAGTTGTTCACTGTGGCAGGTACGTTGGGTTTGTGCTTTCTGGACCTTAAATGCTTTTCCTTGAAATTTAAAAGCAGTCTGTCATCCATATGCCATTTTGTAACAATATAGTGACTGACGACATGGGAGCGTGCTAAGCAATGTCAGAGCTAGTTATCCGAATGTATTTTGTTTTTTCAAAAAATTGTTTCAGTCTTTTTTTCCTACTGTTTTACTATTTTAAATTGTGCTTTCTGAGTACACAGTCCAAGGTTTGCTCTTTTACCAGATTTCAAATATGGTGGCAATTCAGACAAGATGTTTCTTTGAGCTGTAGCAAAGTAAAAGCAGTCTTTAAAAAAAAAACGCAAACAACCAAAAGCAACAAGAAAACCCACACCCCTGCTTTCCAGGAAAGCTAAATGAAATAAAAACAAATCTTAGAAAAACACTTACTAAAATAGAATTAAGTTACAGGTCTCATGTTGCTACTTGCTGAACCATTGAACTTTTTTTAGAAGCTGGTGCCACCATGTGGAATAAACTGTGTACTGCTGATTTTTTAAAATGTCCTTATTCTTTTTGTTAAATATTTTTTGTTGTCATAGTGACTTTAATTATGTTTTTAAAAGCAAAGAAGAAAAATTTTTTAGAACTTTTAGAAAAAAACAAACATGGAAGGCAAAAAAAATATAACTGTCTTCTGGAAGTGTGAGTTTTAAAGTAATGAGTTATTACAGTACACGAATGTTTTGAAACATCTTTGTGAGGAGCAAGACAATATAATCAAACATACTAATACTGCATAGATTTCATATAAATAAACTCCATAATAATCCCAGGTGATTTCTGTTGTGGTATGGTTGTGCTGTTTTTTATTTATTTTTATTATTTTAAAATCTCGTCCTGTGCGTTTTCTTCTGTAGAGTCTTAATTTGCTATACCTGTAACTACACTTATGTTTTAACACTGGTGATTAATAATTCAGGTGTATTAAATGGCTTTGCTTTTTCTTCTCAAACCTGTTGTCTTATATGGGGCTTTTAGGAATCCTGTGACTCTTACGGTTTCAATTCTTACTAGGAACATACAAAAGACTTAAGATAAACTATATTTTCTAAATATTTGAGTTCTCAGAACTTATTTTAAACATTTTGCCCTTACAGTTTTAGTTTTCATGTAGTTGCTCTAAACAAAGAAGTTTCATTCTGTGACAGGTAATGCGTTAAAGTGTATCAATAATTCTGGAAGGACTAGAGAAGTACTTCCTTTTGCCTGAAGCTGCTATGAATGTAGCTTGGTTTAAAGCCTTATGTAGATGCTAAGTAAAAGGTAAAGCCGGAGGGGAGTCGAGTTTTGTTTTCCCCACTGTGTCCCTGGACTTTTAGCTCAGAATTTGAGGTTAGTAGATTGATAGCTCATAGTTTCCATCCATATAGTTTAGTATCCCAAACCACCACCTTTTCAGGGCAGTCTGTCTGCCTTTACTCTGCAGATCCATTTCCCTTTGAGTTAGGTCATTTTGTTGTTCCTTCCCTTCAAGGTAAGCATTCAGGATACAGGCGATAGAATCGGGCTGGGAAACTGCCACTGGAAAAGTGGGAACAGCAGTTACAGAAAGCCTGTCTGCAGTCAGCCATAGACTAAACCACACTAAGAATTAAAAAAAAAAATCTCCTGTGCAAACAAAATATTTCAGACAATTATTAAAATTTTTGAACAGTGGTCAAAATACTCAGCAGTGATGAATGCAACCAAACAGGGTGTTAAATAACTGGCTTTTAATTTTGTTTTTTGAAATATCTGAATAACTATCTGAAATATTTATGAAATTCTGTGTTTTGATTATATTGTATTTGCAAGTAGAAAAGATAGATATTTTATTTCAAGCAATTTGGCAAAGTCTAAGAATCTAAACAATGTTCTGAGTAGTATTAGACAACGTTAAGAGCCGGGAAATCTATATCTGCCAGTAATAGTTATAATCATGTGGGAGAGCAGTGGTCCTGCCTTTGTCGGCAGCAGAGTAATAAGTCTTCAATCCTTTTTTTCTGGCAGCGGTCCAAACCGTGGACATTATATCACCATTGTGAAGAGCCATGGCTTTTGGTTGCTGTTTGATGACGACATTGTAGAGGTAGGTGTGCTTTTACATGGTGAAAACAAGTGTAGACAGCATTACTCTCCAGCTCTCTTGTTATGTCTGGGATTAGCTTTTGCACCTGTGAAAGTATTTCAGAAAAAGGGGCACAGAATAATTCTGGACATTTCAAAAGTGAACTTCAGTATCTTTGCGCATCTTCATTATAGAAATATTGTGGAGAAGGGCAAACCAGCACAAGGGCTGTATTGACACCTCAGACATGGGGTAGTGTGCGCCTGTTCAGGCTGGAATACCACAGTTCTCTTATTCAAGATCTGAAATGTTCTTATTTCAGCCCTTTTGGGCTTTCACCTTCTGGGCTCCTTTTTGTTGCTAACTCGCTTTGTACTAGTTGCATTTCGTTGCTGCATTTAATAACTTCTAACCTTTTTTGTTGGCAGTTTTCCCCAACGAATTGAAGTGTAGAAAAACTGTAAAAAAAGATTTGGGAGACGGTAGTGAGGTCCTGAGGGTGCACCAAGGTATTGGGCTATTGGCGATAATGTTTAAACAGTCTGCTCAAGCAGATTTTCCCTTAACTTTTCTACTAATGTATCTATAAAGACAAATATCCAAAATATTTATATATCTGTGTATTTCATGTAATTATTAAGCAAATATCAAACAGTAGGACCAATACCACAGTAGAACTGCTTTTTGTAAAGATGAAGTTGTACTGTTTGTGCAACAAATTCAAGGAGCTGTCACAAATAAGCTAGAATGTAGTTCCTCTCTCCTGGAGGGATGCTTTTTTTTTTCCCCTTTAAGTTGCTTTTCTAACTTTAATTGTGGCTTTCTTTTTTTAAATTCTTCTTCTTTTACAGAGTTTATCTAAAATGCTGTAAAAATAAAGCTCTTTGATCTGAAATTTCTACTTTTCGTGTTTTCCATGGTTCTTTAATTTTCACTGTCTTCGTTAGAATTAGCGATGTAGCCCTGTCCTGTAGCACTGCCTCTGACCCAGCTGCAGATCTGGAAGTTTAAGATTCCTTTTGCTGCTGGAAGATCCTCCCTGGCTGGCGTTTGTTTTCTTAAAATTTAGGCTTTTTTTTTTCCTACTGCTGGAGGGCATGAAAAATTGCACATGAGAGTTTTGCACATGAGTCATTTGAGATCATTGGCCCTTTCTGATGAACAGTTGCTCCTTGACCTGCTTTGGAGAGTGTAGCATAAGGATTCCTGCGGGCTTTGCCCCAGAGGATCTCTTCACTGACTATCCATTGTAGCTGCTCCTGCTTTCTAAGTGTGTGATGGACATGAAGCTTACATCTTACCTCCCTCTGCCTAGGAAGTACCAACCTTTCTCTTTCCTTGACCTTCTAGAACTCACCTGAATTTCTGGCGATTCAGTGATTAAGGAGAACAGGATAGTGGGGGCTGCTCTTCCTCTCCTGATGCTACAGGCTGATGGAAGAAGTAGCTGCAGTTTTACTCATCTGTTCTCTCTCTCCCCGCTTAGTCATCAGCTCTTGAGAATTAGTTCCTTACTGGTGCTGTAGGCTATTCGCTGAAAAAGTGAAGTAAAGCCGCGACTACTTTTGTCAGTTCCATCTGCTGCCTAAAGAGATTTAAATATCTACTCTGAACTTGACCAAGTGCTATTTTCAAACTGCTTGTGATTGGCCATAAGGTGACACCACAGGAAATATATTGCTATGTGTGACATTAGAGGTTGGCCTCAAAAATGGAGCGGTGAAAAAAACCCAAAGCCCCTAAAATGTGAATTGTGCATAAGTTTCTGGTTTTTGGGCTAACCACAGGAGCCGCTTTCTCTTCAGAGACTCTTAAGAACCTGAAAGCAGATTTTTTTTTATTTTTTAAGCTTTGGAGGCTTAATGTTCTAGGTGTGAACTGACTACATAACAGAGCGGGTATTAGTCAGCAAACTTCAGCGGATGAGTTCATAGCCCTTGTACCTCTGTACAGATCATGCAACTCAAAAACAACACAGGAGGAAGCTTTTCCCCCTTAAATACAGTTAAAAAGCTTTGTTGCATTTTTGGCAAGTGATCTGAACTAATAGCTCTGAACTGTCAATAGGAAGTAGTTTATCCTTATTACCCACTAAATGTCAGAAGTGGTGAAGTCATATTTATTTATCTATTTGGATTTGGTTGGAAGGCCAACTTTCAATTAAATTGAAGATAGATTATAATCAAACATACTACAGCATATGTGAAAAGCAACTGCATCAAATCCAGGAGGCAAATCGGTCCAAATGGGATACTGTGCCAAGCCAAATTAATTGAGAAACCTGAGTAAATGATCTCTGGCTAATTTGACATGTTGTCATTAGAGCAACTAAGCGATACATCACAGTGACAATGTTTATCTGAAACAGAGAGGGAAAAGTGTCCATCCATGGCATTCTCCAAATTGATAAAAAGGGGGAGAATGGTTGTATGTCTTCACTTAAATATTTGTTCAGAGATTTGCAGCATTCAGTTGAATGCTACGAATGGTATGCAAGAAAAGGATTTGGTTTGGGGAACAAGAATAGTTGTCTGGAAACGAGCAAAGGATGTTTAAGCGCTGTTAATGGGAAAAGTCATCTTAATGCCAGGTGAGGCTGCAGAGTCCTCGAAGTAGTTGTGAAACCATCCACTCGTTGTTACTCTAAGGCTGTAACTGGGTAAAACTTTTGCTGTCCACAATGTTCGTAGTCAACTGAGGATGGGAAGAAGAGAGTCTGTATAATCCTCTTACAGTTCCACTGTGTTTCTATGAGTAGTGAAATTAAAAAAGGAAGTCAGTTTTGCCATGGTAAAACTAAAAATATCTGTAGGATGAATTAATCTATATCAAATGTTTGAGTTGCATTCAAAATGAGTAGTGGAAATAGACTTGATTGCATGGCAAATTAGTTGGCACTTAAAATAAAACATGTTTGAGTTGTCTGCTAAAAATATTACAAGGACTGAAGGATGTTCTTTTGCTATTTTTCTGTTAAAATGTGTATCTAACAGTTTGTAGTAGATGTTATGCTAATAAATTGTGTGAAAATTCAAAGCCCTCAGTACAGTATTTCAGCTTCTCTGAAGTCCTTGAATGGAGAAGAAAGAGAAAGCATCAGTTTGGATTTTCGCCCCCCTATTTTTTGTTAACAGAAAGTGTTTAACAAGAAGTAGCCAGTGAGAATTTCTACAGCTCTGTCCAGCAGTTGATGCATCTTCTGGAAATTTACTATGTTTCTTTTTCTTGTGCTTTAAAAAGTCTGGGAAAAGGATGGCCTAAACTTGCAGGTTGTTTGGCAGTGCCCCTTAGAGAAACCAATGCTTTTGTGTTTGCTGATGATGCTACAGTCTGTTCTGTGAGCAACGATTTAGCGCGCTGCCAAATGGATTCTGTAGCTGAGGAGGCTCCTTGATGGAGCCATAGCACGGTTGCTTTCTTTTAAAATGTTGGTACAAGTTGGCCTCTGCTACTCCTCGTGATCAAAGCAGGTGTTCAACCCAGAGCCTCTTGTGTTCTGAATGTTTCTTTGCTTCCTTAACTTTATTCCTTGGAGAAAAAAGGGAAACTTTAGGCTAGTCTCCTTTGGCTCTCCACAACAAATCCGGGCTACTTCAGCCTCTCATCTCTGTGGATTCAGAGTCATAGGATCATAGGTTGGTCCTAAAGGTATTTTAAAATACTAAAACACAGTGGAGTGCTGGGCAGCACGGGCCATTGGGAGTATTTTATTTCAGTGGTTTAGTCTCTATGCTTGCTCTCCTCTGACTGCAGAATCAAATTCAGTAATGTGAAGCCAGTCGTTCTCAGGAGCGGGATCAAGACTGTAGAACTTGCGTCTTTAAAAGCCCTTTGAAATGCCCTTCAGGCCTTGCTGGTTGGAATATAAAATGAAAAAGTGCTTTTCTGCACATAGTTCACAACTTGAAATACAAGCAGACCATCCAATTCTATTAACATGGCAAATAATTTATCATAAGGTTTGTGTTCTAAGAGAAATAATATCCCAGTAGGCATTGTACCAGCAAATCCTAAGGAAGGAAAGCTCTCATAAGACCGGAAGATGGGATCCACAGATTTCATGGATAATTACCGGTAGCACTTGCAGGACTTCTGTACGTGCGAGGGCCATAAAAACTTTAAAATTTGCAGTTATTTTAGCTGAATGTTAAATCTGTTCAAGATGGTGCTTATGTACTCTCAACTGTACAAAAATCTTTGCTGAGCAGTGACTGCTTTTTTTCATCTACGTTGCATACCTGGAGTCAGGAAAGGTATCACCAGTCTGAATGAGAAAGCAAATATAAAAAATATCATACGCTCTTTTAAGGATATATTTTCATGGATCCGTTTTTTTATAATCCAGTTTAAGAGTGCACCACTTCTGAGAGGTTTATTATTTCATCCTTTTTTTCAACAGTGAATAAGGTATTAAGTGGAAAAAATGTTTTGTTGTATTTGGTTGGATTCAACGATACTGAAATACTGCTGTATTAATACTGCGTGACTTTGCGGCATCACCTCCAAGAACTGAAAACAATGCTTGGTCTGGGAGAGGGATTCTTAGGGTGGTGTTCTGACTGAGGCTAATTATAACTCTGATTCATTTTCAGAAAATTGACGCCCAGGCCATTGAAGAATTCTATGGGTTAACATCAGACATTTCCAAAAACTCAGAATCTGGATATATCCTCTTCTACCAGTCAAGAGACTAAGACAAAAGATACATGTACACAGATAAAAGAAAAAAGGGATCAAGATATGTCCAAACGGAACATATTTGTGACAGCAGAAGCAGTTCCTCGTCGTTGCTGTAGGACCAGGACAGATCCAGCAGGGCAAATAAAGGTTTCTCCCTGCCATTTCGTGGAGGATTAGTGCTGACTGCCGTAACAAGAAGAGCTTTTGTTCCAGTTTTCTTTCTGGGCTTTTTTTACGTGCTATCTTCCAAAATCTGTGTTACCTCTACTTGAAACCTGGCTGCTTATTTGTTCATGAACTGAAGAAGAGACTTAAAAGTAGCATTGTAGAATTTTTACCATTTAATGTTGGCCTGAGGCTATACCTTGGTTTCTACCATCGTCGTTTTTCTGTATTTTAGCAGAATGATTTCAATATTCAGTGTCAGCTGAAGGCATATTTTAGGATATGAACAGCAGCTGGTTGCTGGATATTTTTGGTGACTCAGACTTGAGAAGCAGTACAAAGCTAAGACATATTGGAAATGTCAAGTCTGTAATTTTTGTAAAAAAAAAAAAAAAAAAAAACCAACAAAAAAACAACAGACAAAAAACCTCTCTGTGCAGCATTGTAAATTTCCCCATTATGCATTATCTTGGGTTTAGATAACACTAACAGCACTGCTTCTTTGTATATTTTTATTTTTACTGTTCTGTTTCTTCTTCAGAAGGTACAGAACTTTCTCCGTATTCAGCCTAGTCTATAGTGCGTTTTTCTTTTGAAGCAGAAGTTTTGACTCAAAGCCACATTGCTGCAGATTTAAGGGGAGCGGAAGAGCAGTTACCTTTTGAAGAATATGTCTGGCAACCAGCTGCTGTAGGAAGGCTGAAGTTGCAGCGTTTCTTGGAGCTATTGCGTAAACCAAAAGTGCCCTCATCCAGAAACAGGATCTGTTCACCGTTTCATTCAATACAGAGCAAACTGATGCAACTAGTGTTTTGAATCTATGCTAATACACAGAAACCGCACTAATTGTGAAGGGTTAACCAAGGGGAGCGTTATTTATGTAACTAATCCAGTTGTTCTCACTCTTGGAGATAATGAATGTGTAAGAAGGATAACAAACCGACCAACCCAACCATCACCTGGCTAAGTGTTCCTCATCATCTGTGGTAATGTTTGTATTGATCTGGGAATCATACCACCCCCCTAAAAAAATGCTTCTGATTGTTTTACCTCTATAGGCCTTGCTTAACAGGGGAAATTGTTAGTCTTTTGAAGACTGAAATTAAGTAATTATCCGTTACGTGTACATATGATAATCTCAAGGATAACTAGGATGAAAAGGCTAAGGGAGTATGTAAGAAATCTCAGAAAATCTTATGTAATTTTCTTGTTGAAAAGTCCTGTTGCCGTGCCAAAGCTTGTCGCAGCTGGCTCTAAACCACCCGTGGAAACGAGTATTTTCCTCTCTTCGTCTTGTTAGGTGACGCAAGAGCTGTCTTCTGTGGGGTTGTTCCCAGCACAGCCGTTCGTGGTATGTACCGGTGATTGTTGTTCTTGAGGACATTTAACTTATGCAATTCTGTGGCTTGTACAGGACATAAAATATTTTACCAAAATATCGTCCTCAGGAAAACAGCATTTCACAACCAGTTTCTTGTGGCTGTATCTGTTTCTTCTTACTGTGAGCAGAAATGTAATGTTAGCAATTAACTCCTGTCTTCAAAATGCAATTTAATCCATTACCATTGTATTCCAACTGGGTGCAGGTTCCATTCTCCCGGCACATCTCCTCTTCCAGAAGATAAACTATGGACGTTGGGTTTTTTAATTATTTTTTATTATACAGAGTACTGTCATTTTAAGAGACATATTCAATAACAGCAAACGTTCTTGCCATCTTGTTCCTATTGTGTGAAAATTGTTCCTGGCTAAGAGTCTTCTCCCCTTGTTCACGCACAAGCTGTGAGTCCTCTCCTGGTGGCGCTACCAGAAGCCTGTCACCACTAAGTCTTGCAAAAAAAAAAAAAAAAAAGAAAAAAAGAGAGCACTGAGTTAAAAATAATCTAAACAGTAAATACGAAAATTAATGTAGTACACTAGACATGTATTTTGTATATCTGGTGAGACATTTTTACAAATAAAATACCTGACTGAGAGAGAATATTGAAAGATATATACTATAGATTAAAAACTGCTAAAAGTGCACTTTTGCTACAGATTTATAAGGAGACTAAAAGGAATTAAATTGGAAGAGAATGGTGTGATGTTACTTCTGTATAATAAATGACCCCACCTGTCTCCAATAAAGGTCATGTATGATCAAACGCACATGGCCCAAGTGCTTTTCCTTGAATTTCAATCCGAGGCAGAAATAAAAGTAGTTGGTTAATGCAGCCTCTCCCTCCGTGCTGCTGGCTGAGGGATTCCCACCGCTGTATTTGCACACGTATAACCTGTTCATAAGCGGTTTAGACCAGGAGAAATGAATAATTCAGTGTCATAGATTATAACCGATGCGCTGGTAAACCAAGGAGAGGTTACGCAGGGCCTTTTCCCCTGACACCCGTCCCGCTGCTGGTCTTCCTTAATCTTCATCATCCTCTGTAGCTCTGCCGTTGCCTTTCCCTGTGATTTCCTTTCTCCTCCTCCCGCTTTCTCCCTTTGCCTGTTGGACTCCGTAAGACTTTGCTGCAAATATTATCTGACTGATCTGGAACAGAGACGTTCAAAAGCAAAAATAGTAGCAGATGCTTGGCGCTTTTCAGGTTCATTGCGGGACAGGTCTTCGTTTCTGTGTTGTTCACTGGAGTTCACTTTTTTAAGGGGAGCGTTTGATCACAGGCTGCTCCCGTGAGTGGGAGTTCATGGGATGAGGACAGAACGCAACAGGAGCAAATGGGATTCGAAAGTGACAGCTGCTCAGCAAAAACATGTTTTAAATCCCAAACACTGTCTGGTCCCGGTGCTGGGTCACGCATTAGCAATAAATAAATGGAGCTAATTTTAACTCTAGTGAGGGTGAGTTTGACTTTCAGTCACTTTAGAAAGAGCGTTACCCGGAATTCATTTTGTTGAGGTCAAACGACCAAAATCGGAATCTCTGGAAGCAGTGTGGGTTTAGCTTTGGGTACCAGTAAGGCAGGATTGATACTGGGATTTGGGGGCTGGTCTTGTTGCTTCAGCTCTTCTCCAGAACCCAGTGCTGGAGCGAGGGTGGAGACCATCCCCTGGTTATTACTCCTCTCTGCTAACCAGCAGCCGGAGCCCAACGCCCCCCGTGTTTGAGTGTCACTTCCAGTCCAGCAGATCCTACAGTTTGTTTGTGGAGAGGCTCTGCCCTAAAGACTGCAGAAACAGAGGTTGTTTATGAATTGGTGTTTGCGTTTGGCATGTTCTAGTTACCAGCAGGAGCTTTTAAAGTCACCGTGCCAGCTCGGTTTAGGATATGTTTAAAACAAATCATAGTTGATTGGTGCAAGAAAGAAAATAGACTAACAAAAGCCCCTGAGACAAGTAAAACCTTCGCATTGTAGTCCTCGGCAT